AGGTAGACGAAACAGTTATTAAAATACACCTGGCGAGATGCACAAACACCACAATAAAATAGATAAAAAATATTTTCTGATTTGTAAAATCATCGAGAAATGCGCATATTTTGTTACAAGTAATAATAGGATTTTCAAATTACTAGTGCAGATCAAATATTTTCTGATTTGTTAAATCGTCAAGAAATACGCATATTTTGCCACAAGTAATAAGAGGATATTAAATCAAAATGGGCCAGAGTGACTTTCTGTAATATACATTTGTAGATACGGATGTTAATGTACTGGAATACAATCTTAAACGAAAATTACGTGTTTTATTTTAAACGTTAGATATTCTATAAATCCATCATACATACAGACAGAGCTAAGTAAGATTTTTCACAGTGGAAAGCTTAATTATCACTTAATTGTTCTCTAAGCATAAAGATTTTGATTTTATTTTCCTGTTATGAATTTTCCATTTCTTTATAACACTGTAATATTTTCCCAGGTTTTTTTTATTGTGAAGTCGCTGTTTAAGATAAAGGTCGATCGCTAATAAAGACACGTACATCACCAAGCGCCGACAGATATAGGGTGATAGTCTATCTATAGATTTTAAGTTGGAATGAAGGCATTTTGATTCATCGCTTTTACATGCGTATATCGTCTATGTAGCATGCGACACTTACTCTTCCGGATCACCTGTTCTTATACTCCTTGACCTTTTCAGGTTTCCGATTATAATTTTTTTTTATAGTTTGATCAGTTTTATTGAATTTCAGTTTAAAATATGTTGACATGTCGATATATTTTTTTCATTGGTTACTGATATTCAGGTTTTGCAGCATTATATGTCATTATATGTCATTATATGTCATTTATGTCATTTATGTCATTTATGTCATTATATGTCATTATATGTCATTATATGTCATTTATGTCATTATATGTCATTATATGTCATTATATGTCATTATATGTCATTTATGTCATTATATGTCATTTATGTCATTATATGTCATTATATGTCATTATATGTCATTATATGTCATTTATGTCATTGTATGTCATTATATGTCATTTATGTCATTATATGTCATTATATGTCATTATATGTCATTATATGTCATTTATGTCATTATATGTCATTTATGTCATTTATGTCATTTATGTCATTATATGTCATTATATGTCATTTATGTCATTATATGTCATTATATGTCATTTATGTCATTATATGTCATTATATGTCATTATATGTCATTTATGTCATTATATGTCATTATATGTCATTTATGTCACGGATTCGTGACACTTCATTGTAAAATGGAATCCGGAATCCGTTATGTGTTTTTTCTAAATTTACCTGACATATGTTTTATGAATATCAATTTGCATTTGACCCATGTTTACATAAGTATATAAAAATATAGTGTTCTATCATTCAAGCCTTATCATTAATATATCAGTTTCGTTAATTTTAAATGTCAAAATGTATTTCGTTTCGTAATACTTCAATGTAACGATTTGATAAGACTTATGGAACTTGGTATCAAACGTCATAAACATACAGACAGATATTGGGATCGATTTAATGACAACATACGTTTTACTTCACACAAAGTATCCTAATTGTTGAGTGTGAATTATATCATGATTACGACAAGAATTAGTCCCACTATCTCCAACGACTATAAAAGCCCTCTTCTTACTTATACAAATATACACATTAGTCAGAGAATTAATTTATCGATTTGTTTTCATAATACAAAAATATTTATGATATATGAATGTTCTAACTGATACAAACAACCGTGAATAGTAATTAATTGGACTGTTTCTGAATAGAATTATTCTGGAAGTCACTTTAAATGGAGGCCAGGCCGGACAATCACTACTGTAACCAGGTAACAACAGTGTGTGTAGTCGTACCCACTACTGTAACCAGGTAACAACCGTGTGAACAGTCGTACCCACTACTGTAACCAGGTAACAACAGTGTGTGTAGTCGTACTCACTACTGTAACCAGGTAACAACCGTGTGAACAGTCGTACGCACTACTGTAACCAGGTAACAACCGTGTGAACAGTCGTACTCACTACTGTAACCAGGTAACAACAGTGTGTTTAGTCGTACTCACTACTGTAACCAGGTAACAACAGTGTGTTTAGTCGTACTCACTACTGTAACCAGGTAACAACAGTGTGTTTAGTCGTACTCACTACTGTAACCAGGTAACAACAGTGTGTGTAGTCGTACTCACTACTGTAACCAGGTAACAACAGTGTGTTTAGTCGTACTCACTACTGTAACCAGGTAACAACAGTGTGTGTAGTCGTACTCACTACTGTAACCAGGTAACAACAGTGTGTGCAGTCGTACCCACTACTGTAACCAGGTAACAACAGTGTGTTTAGTCGTACTCACTACTGTAACCAGGTAACAACAGTGTGTGTAGTCGTACTCACTACTGTAACCAGGTAACAACAGTGTGTGTAGTCGTACTCACTACTGTAACCAGGTAACAACAGTGTGAACAGTCGTACTCACTACTGTAACCAGGTAACAACAGTGTGTGTAGTCGTACCCACTACTGTAACCAGGTAACAACAGTGTGTGTAGTCGTACTCACTACTGTAACCAGGTAACAACAGTGTGTGCAGTCGTACTCACTACTGTAACCAGGTAACAACAGTGTGTGCAGTCGTACTCACTACTGTAACCACTGTAAGTGATAAAAATTATCAATTACAGTTCCTGTTTCCCTAGATTTTCAAAACTGACTTCACAGTATCCATATCGATAGCATATGTCTGCGACAATGATTTCTCTCGAAAATCAACCACAACTGGGCCCCACGATCTCATGGTATTCAACTAATTTGAAAACGATTTACGGTCATTATAATGGTGTTTTTGAGTAAATTTCTGTTATTCTAATGAGATCGTGTTTGTTGTTCGTTCGTATAAATATTGGTTCCATTGTCGTTTGGTAACGTGATATTACATATATAAGTTAACAATATTTCAAGATGGCTGTCATCGATGAAGCAGAACACGCTTACCCTTCCGAAACAAAATGTCTTTTTCTAAAATCTCCCCTAGTTTCATCCATATGGATTTGAATTTAGATTCTGTAGGTATGTCGGTATAACTTTTCAATATTGTAAATCAATTTGTAGAAACTGAATATCATTATCTTTAGCACAAAGCAACGTATACTGCATGATGAATTATCATTTCTTCATTTGGTACAAAACTGATTAAATCTGAGGTTATTGCGTGCAATATAAACATCCGTGAATATTCATATAGATTACTGTTTCCTAAAACATCCTGGGTCAGCGACTGTAAGGCTGATTGCATAAAAAAAACACATTTCAGCCCCTTACGTGTTACCGAATAGGTAAATGGTCTTTCTAAAAATAGAACAGAACGAATTCAGGAAAAGTTATGTTAATTTGAAAATAGCAACAATGTTTCCATGACGACAACTGGAGCTGGATAGTTAAATGTAAACTGAGATTTACATTGTACACAGTGATCAAGAAAAGAAAATCTATATTTAGGTACAGAATAGCCAAATAATGAATTAAACTGCATCATACAGCTGTTTCGTCTTTCTGGGACCTAAGGGCCTAAAGTTTAAATCTAGGAAGTTTGTGAACACAAAAAAAGTGTATACAGATGACGAAATAAATTGGAAACGTACATTGTTATTCAAGGTCGATGTTTGACCTTTTTTAAGGGGAGGGGGGATGAAGACTTTCCAATTTTCCATAAAATTATGAGAGCAGCATAAAAACACAAATTAGCAAAAAAATGATAATGTGGATTTGATTTCAGATTCTTTAGTGGTTGTAGACGTCATTAAATTATGTATGATTTCTTCTTCAATGAAAGAAACATTTTCATTCGCTATTTCTATGTTATCGCCCCCAAAAAATTAAACAAAAATCAGCGTGATTCTGTAAAGTCACGAGGAGTTGCGCGGTTTATGAAATGATCATAGAGTCGATTATAAATGTTGGGAAAAAATACATTCCGATTGAAGTTTGTAAGCGTTGACTTCAATATTTTCATAAAACAATTAACGTAGCCTTGACAACACCTGTTTATACTTTATCATTTATTTATCTATTTATAATATTTATTTTATTTTATTATTTTTTATTTTTTATTATCCTTGATATAAACTGCATTTATATGATGGATTTGTTGAACCTTTTTTTCAGAATTTAATTTTCAAAATACTGTGATATCTTGTATATATGTGTGCGTGTGTGTGTGTGTGTGTGGGTGGGTGGGTGTGAGTGTGTTTGTGTGTGTGTGTGTGTGATTTTAAAAAAATCATTTCTACTTATGAATTTTGGTTTTGTGTTTGATGTGTTAAATGCTAACCACGAAATGAGTTATATTGAATGACACAGCTCGTTTAAGGTCGCTGATGCCAAGGGCAGGAATTTTAATGTGCTCTCTAGATATATCGTTATGTACTATGATTTGAGTGCTATTTGCATATCTAAGTCATTTAAGTGCTTGAAATGTTGTTCGAATATTTGAATAACATTTACATCCAACAAAAAGTGATATATGGTCGTTATTATCAAACTGTTCAGAATTTATTTAACCTTTACAAAATAAATATTCGAAAGGTTTAAATTCCAGTAAATGCCTTCAAAATTCCATTATATGGCTTTAAAATCTCAGTAAATGACTTTAAGATTTCAGTAAATGGCTTTTAAATTTCAGTAAATGTCTTAAATTTCAGTAAGTGTCTAAAATTTCAGTAAATGGCTTAAAACTTTCATTGCGTGAAATATTGGTTTTTACAAAACAAAATTGAGATATCTAGTAATATGTGACAGATGCACTTCAATGAAGAGTAGATTTACTAGGTTTTTTCCCTTAGTACTCCGATTTGCAAGACTATCGTTACTTATAAGATTTGAGTGATTTTCTCATTGATGGGATCTTTCGAACAATGCTTTATGTAAAATTGTTTCATGTTGTAGGAAGCCAAGGTGCCGTGATTCCATCAGACAAACCAACCGAAAATCCCGACATTGCAAGTCCAGCAGTCAACACGCCATCTGAAGCGCCGTCAGAAAACACAGCAGCTGCCAGTCCACCAGTCAACACGCCATCTGAAGGGCCGTCAGAAAACACAGCAGCTGCCAGTCCACCAGTCAACACGCCATCTGAAGGGCCGTCAGATAACAAAGCAGCTGCAAGTCCAGCAGTCAACACGCCATCTGAAGGGCCGTCAGAAAACACAGCAGCTGCCAGTCCACCAGTCAACACGCCATCTGAAGGGCCTTCAGAAAACACAGCAGCTGCCAGTCCACCAGTCAACACGCCATCTGAAGGGCCGTCAGATAACAAAGCAGCTGCAAGTCCACCAGTCAACACGCCATCTGACGGGCCGTCAGAAAACACAGCAGCTGCCAGTCCACCAGTCAACACGCCATCTGAAGGGCCTTCAGAAAACACAGCAGCTGCCAGTCCACCAGTCAACACGCCATCTGAAGGGCCGTCAGAAAACAAAGCAGCTGCCAGTCCACCAGTCAACACGCCATCTGAAGGGCCTTCAGAAAACACAGCAGCTGCCAGTCCACCAGTCAACACCCCATCTGAAGGGCCGTCAGAAAACAAAGCAGCTGCCAGTCCACCAGTCAACACGCCATCTGAAGGGCCGTCAGAAAACACAGCAGCAGCCAGTCCACCAGTCAACACGCCATCTGAAGGGCCGTCAGAAAACACAGCAGCTGCAAGTCCACCAGTCAACACGCCATCTGAAGGGCCGTCAGAAAACAAAGCAGCTGCAAGTCCACCAGTCAACACGCCATCTGAAGGGCCGTCAGAAAACAAAGCAGCTGCCAGTCCACCAGTCAACACGCCATCTGAAGGGCCGTCAGAAAACACAGCAGCTGCCAGTCCACCAGTCAACACGCCATCTGAAGGGCCGTCAGAAAACACAGCAGCTGCCAGTCCACCAGTCAACACGCCATCTGAAGGGCCGTCAGAAAACACAGCAGCTGCCAGTCCACCAGTCAACACGCCATCTGAAGGGCCGTCAGAAAACAAAGCAGCTGCCAGTCCACCAGTCAACACGCCATCTGAAGGGCCGTCAGAAAACACAGCAGCTGATAATCCACAAAAAAACGCACCATCAGACACCGAAAATGTTGAAATTCAAACAGCGAATGAAAAGTCCCAGTCTACACAGAGTATCAGACCAAAGTCAACAACAAATGAAATGGGAGATAACCCAAACGCAACACCCCAATCTGGACCTCATGTAAAGGTTACTTCAACCAAAACAGAAACGAAGAAGAAACCACCAACAAAAGCTGGGCGTAAGAACAAGAAAGATAAAACCAACAAGATATTGGCCAGACTATCAAAACAAAGTATGGAACGATTAAAGAAGCTGATCCTGTCAAAAACAATGACGAATGAAAACCTAGGTACACTCATCCTTACTACGTACGTGAAAAAGGCAAAAGAAGCCGGGACAGTGAGGGAACATATTAATGGCCGAACTAGGTTGCAGCGGTATCAAATGGACAAACTTCAAAAATTAAATGTGGATTCCATTGAAAAACTTTTATTTGACAAGAAACGGTTCTCTGAACGAATACGTGAAAAGGCATTGAATGTGTACTTGAAATTACATCTTCCTTCAAGATCTGATACAAAGAGTAAAAAAACTGATAAAATTATCGAAACATCTAAGAGCACAACAGGAAGTGTTAAAGTAGGAGATAATGTTGCACCATGGTCACAGGCGAATGAAGATTCGAAGTTCCCAATGCAAACACATGCCAAACCGCACAAGCCTACGTTAACAGAAAACGAGCCTGTTGTAAAACCTGCCGTTAAAAATGACCAAGAAGAAAAAATCTCCACAAGCCCGGCGGTTAAAACGACGTCAAACGTCCCTGCAAAATCTCCCACTGATAAAGTCAAGCCTACTCCAGCTAAGCCCCCTAAAAACGTTAAAGTAGGAGATAATGTTGCACCATGGTCACAGGCGAATGAAGATTCAAAGTTCCCAATGCAAACACATGCCAAACCGCACAAGCCTACGTTAACAGAAAACGAGCCTGTTGTAAAACCTGCTGTTAAAAATGACCAAGAAGAAAAAATCTCCACAAGCCCGGCGGTTAAAACGACGTCAAACGTCCCTGCAAAATCTCCCACTGATAAAGTCAAGCCTACTCCAGCTAAGCCCCCTAAAAACGTTAAAGTAGGAGATAATGTTGCACCATGGTCACAGGCGAATGAAGATTCAAAGTTCCCAATGCAAACACATGCCAAACCGCACAAGCCTACGTTAACAGAAAACGAGCCTGTTGTAAAACCTGCTGTTAAAAATGACCAAGAAGAAAAAATCTCCACAAGCCCGGCGGTTAAAACGACGTCAAACGTCCCTGCAAAATCTCCCACTGATAAAGTCAAGCCTACTCCAGCTAAGCCCCCTAAAAACGTTAAAACAGGAGATAATGTTGCACCATGGTCACAGGCGAATGAAGATTCGAAGTTCCCAATGCAAACACATGCCAAACCGCACAAGCCTACGTTATCAGAAAACGAGCCTGTTGTAAAACCTGCCGTTAAAACTGACCAAGAAGAAAAAATCTCCACAAGCCCGGCGGTTAAAACGACGTCAAACGTCCCTGCAAAATCTCCCACTGATAAAGTCAAGCCTACTCCAGCTAAGCCCCCTAAAAACGTTAAAGTAGGAGATAATGTTGCACCATGGTCACAGGCGAATGAAGATTCGAAGTTCCCAATGCAAACACATGCCAAACCGCACAAGCCTACGTTATCAGATTTATTAGGTGAACAAGCTGCTGTGCAATCAACCGTTGAAAAGGACCCGGAAGTGAAACCTGCTGAGGTCACCGCAAAACAATCTACCGAAAAAGATAAGAAAAATTCTGTTGATGCCGATGGTAGCGTAAAGGTTGGAGGGAACGTGGCCCAGTGGTCACAAACAAATGAAGATTCTATTTCTCCTGTGCAAACACATGCCAAGCCTCATACGCCAACTTTAACAGATTTGCCGAATAAAGAGACAACAGAGGGCGTTGCTGATAAAGCTACCGAGCAAGAAATATTAACAACAGATAAAAAAACAAATTCACCAGAAGGCAGAACCGAGGAAAAACAAATGTCTTTCCCCACACCTATAGACCAACAGTTGGCCTTAGATGCTGAGACGGGTAACAATCAACATGCTGGCCAACCAGAAGAGTCATCGCCATTTTTAAGGACATCTTCAATAGTGTCATCTGGTGATCACGTGCAACCGAAAGCGACATCTTCCGGAAGGATCATCAGCGAGAGGGACATTAGGGCTGTCGTGTCGTCCTTTTTCTAGTAAAGTGAAATGTTGTGTTTTATAAGAGATTTTATTAAAGTGAAATGACATTACCGTAACATTTAAACGATCAAACTTTGTTTCATAAAATAAACAAAAATAAAATAAAATACATTTCAAATTCAAATTAAAGTTCCAAACTAAGATGCAATAATCATTACACAGAGAAAAAGACCCACTAGAGAAACTTAATGATATGGTGAAGTCGAAGCTTTCATCTCCAATTATTATCTTTTCATTTCAAATATCTGTACCTCTTCATCCAATCTAAAACACGTCAACGTAAGATAACCAAAATTTCTCTGAAATGTTTTTCGTTTAGTAATATTTCATTGTACATGTAGTCACATCCCATATTCATAAAAAAGTATCTCGAAATGTTATTCATTGCTGACCATGAAATATTCATACCTCGATATAACGATATTTGTAAATCATCAAACTTTCAAATCTCGATCTTTTCTACCACTTAAATGTTCCAGCCCGATATAACAATCTTTGCTAACTATGAAAAAATCAAACCACGATATTACGAGCTCTGTTAACCATTAAACATTCATTCTCAATATAACGATCTTTGTCGATCATGATACAGGCAAACCCCGATATAACGATCTTTGTCGATCATGACACAGGCGAACCCCGATATAACGATCTTTGTCGATCATGATACAGACGAAACCCGATATAAAGATTTTTGTCGATCATGATACAGACGAACCCCGATATAACGATCTTTGTCGATCATGATACAGACGAACCCCGATATGACGATCTTTGTCGATCACTGTACAGTCGAACCTCGATATAAAGATCTTTGTCGATCACTGTACAGTCGAACCTCGATATAAAGATCTTTGTCGATCACTGTACAGTCGAACCTCGATATAAAGATCTTTGTCGATCACTGTACAGTCGAACCTCGATATAAAGATCTTTGTCGATCACTGTACAGTCGAACCTCGATATAACGATCTTTGTCAACCATCAAATTTTTAAAACCCCGATATCGTAACCTTTGTAAATCAATATACTGTCAAACCTCAATATATATCGATCGTTGCTAACCATTAACTCTTCCAAACCCGATATAACATTTTTTTATTAATATTATAACCTCGACATAACGAGCTTTATTAACCATAAACTATTCAAGCCTCGACATAACGACCTTTGTTAACCGACAAACATTCAAACCCTGATATAACGAGCTTTGTTAACCATAAAACATTCAAACCTCGACATAACGAACTTTGTTAACCATAAAACATTCAAACCTCGACATAACGAACTTTGTTAACCATAAAACATTCAAACCTCGACATAACGAACTTTGTTAACCATAAAACATTCAAACCTCGATATCACGACCTTTGTTAACCATCAAACATTTAAACCTTGATATAACGAGCTTTGTTTACCATAAAACATTCAAACCTCGACATAACGAACTTTGTTAACCATAAAACATTCAAACCTCGACATAACGACCTTTGTTAACCGACAAATATTCAAACCCTGATATAACGAGCTTTGTTTACCATAAAACATTCAAACCTCGACATAACGAACTTTGTTAACCATAAAACATTCAAACCTCGATATCACGACCTTTGTTAACCATCAAACATTTAAACCTTGATATAACGAGCTTTGTTCATCATTCAGAGTCGTACTTCATCTTTCCTAACTCATGTAGTTCATTGGTCGGTTGGTTGATTTCACTCCTTCACTAGCTATTTCTAAGTTATTTTCTCACCAAAAAAGTCGCTGATCTGCCGACATTATTTCAGTGTAAAATCGATTTAATTCTTCGTGAATTGTTAAAAGCCAAAAACATTTATGACTTAACTATCAAAAATTTGAGAATTCAGTCAGTATGTATCCAGAGAAAATGTTTTATATCTGAACCCTTGGATTCCGAAGTTGTATACAATCAGAAAGCCACTTTTAGTGGGAGACGCTTGTTTAGATCATGGTCGGAGTTATACGTTTGATGCTTATTTATATGCGTCAGTCAAGTACGGAAACTGCCGAATACTAATTCTCACAATCAATCAAGCAAGTTTATCTGAACTATCACGAAAACTGCCGAATACTAATTCTCACAATCAATCAAGCAAGTTTATCTGAACTATCACGGAAACTGCCGAATACTAATTCTCACAATCAATCAAGCAAGTTTATCTGAACTATCACGGAAACTGCCGAATACTAATTCTCACAATCAATCAAGCAAGTTTATCTGAACTATCACGGAAACTGCCGAATACTAATTCTCACAATCAATCAAGCAAGTTTATCTGAACTATCACGGAAACTGCCGAATACTAATTCTCACAATCAATCAAGCAAGTTTATCTGAACTATCACGGAAACTGCCGAATACTAATTCTCACAATCAATCAAGCAAGTTTATCTGAACTATCACGGAAACTGCCGAATACTAATTCTCACAATCAATCAAGCAAGTTTATCTGAACTATCACGGAAACTGCCGAATACTAATTCTCACAATCAATCAAGCAAGTTTATCTGAACTATCACGAAAACTGCCGAATACTAATTCTCACAATCAATCAAGCAAGTTTATCTGAACTATCACGGAAACTGCCGAATACTAATTCTCACAATCAATCAAGCAAGTTTATCTGAACTATCACGAAAACTGCCGAATACTAATTCTCACAATCAATCAAGCAAGTTTATCTGAACTATCACGAAAACTGCCGAATACTAATTCTCACAATCAATCAAGCAAGTTTATCTGAACTATCACGAAAACTGCCGAATACTAATTCTCACAATCAATCAAGCAAGTTTATCTGAACTATCACGAAACTGCCGAATACTAATTCTCACAATCAATCAAGCAAGTTTATCTGAACTATCACGGAAACTGCCGAATACTAATTCTCACAATCAATCAAGCAAGTTTATCTGAACTATCACGAAAACTGCCGAATACTAATTCTCACAATCAATCAAGCAAGTTTATCTGAACTATCACGAAAACTGCCGAATACTAATTCTTACAATCAATAAAACCAGTTAACCCGAAATCTCACGAAAACTGACGAATCGTCGAGAAGCTTGTCTCGCCTTGTTGTAAATCGAATCAGAACCCGGTCTGCCATCAGTCAAGTTTCACACTGAACTTTCAGGTGAAGTTAGAACAAATAATCGGATAATTTGAAGTTTTCCAATGATTCTGTTGACTTCCAGATAACGAGGTTCGACTGTATTTGAAGTTATTTGGTGTTTGAAATCTACTGTCTGTATGATTACATCACCGTATGTCATGACGTCATCGTTTGTCATGACGTCATTATATGCCATATCTTAAAATTTAAACATTCAAATTAAAATTTAAGAAATATATCAAATGTAAGTATTTTTCCGTTTCATGCAGTGTTCCTGAGAAAAACGCGCTAGACAAAGTCCAACCAACTGTTAGGACGTCAACCATCGAAGGAGTTCCTGCGATGAAATCTTCTGTACAACCCAGATCTGACGTCACGATGAACACCGGCGACCAAGACGTGATAGGAGAACCTTCGCCATTTCCTGGTGTGAAATCTCAAGAATCTTCGAAGGACTTTTTCAGCATTCTAGATCAGTATAACCGGCTTTCACAACTGATGAAGAAATCTAATAGAGCTAATACTGATGTCACTCGATATGGGAAAAGTTTGAGTAGAGAAACTCCTGTTTCTAAGACGAAGAATACGGTGAAAGAATCAAGTTGGGGCGTGAATGGTGGCCAGGCATTCAGACGAATCCCTGACGAGAGAACTAATTTCTTTTTACCGGATTCTTTTCCTATTTTTGATATCACATCCCGTCATGATGTTCTGACTAAGAATCCTGACATGGAACAAACAGCAGGGATAATAAAGGTGAAAAGTCGGCCCATAAATCAGAAAGTCCTATCCCCTTGGGGAGCTGGGACTGCTATTTCCGAAACAAGAACGATCTCCGAGACACCAAACCAACAACGTAACACACTACGCAATATGGGACTTCCTGAAACTCCGAGAAGTTTGCTGTCAGGACATCAAGGTCCAAGTAGAAAAGATGAAATGTTACAACTACCTCACTCAGCCGCAGCATTCATGAAAGAACCAACAGTTTTATCCTCAAGACGAAAAGTGGAAAAAATCCCAACCATTCCTTACATATCAGACAAAGAAATTGCTGACGTTGTTTCCTCATTCTTCTTACGACGTTAATCGTTTTCCTACGGGCAGAGATTTTCACCCTTTCGGCTTTTTCACCCTCGAAGGAGGAGTTGGGTGAAAAGTTACTGTAAATGTGTGTGTGTTTTTTTTTTTTTTTTTAAGTTCGTTGGTTGTAATATCTTATTTTGTTTTTTCCTGAAATATTGAATAGACCACTGTTATCTTTGTATTTTAAGGTACCTACATTTCACGCATCCTCGAAGATATAATCCGCCAAAAGTTACATCGTTTACAGTAAAACAATGATATATAGGTGTTGTACAGCGCTAGGTATCTGTCTGGTACAATTTGTGTTAGGAATGAAATACTGCATTATTGACAGTCGGATATTGCTTATAAATCAACAATTTGGCATTCTGATATATCAGAGTTACTGCCCTTAGTTCCAAGTTTGACAGCCGATGGTACACAGCTGATTTTTACATATCTTTATATATACTGTACAACAAAATAATTTATGTTAAGATTTATTGTCTATATTACAAAAAAATATTTTTACCGACACTTTGTTTTCCTATAGAGCACAACGCTTTTTTTGATAATTATGATAACTTATTTTCATGAAAGTTTTGAATCTCCAGAGTCACAATTTATTTTTGTGAATGATTTCAGTCTACAGACTCACAGTTTCTTTCCGTGAAAAGTTTTAAGAGGCCATTTTCAGAACTTATTTTTGTGAAAAAACCGCTACACACTTGTAAAACATAAAATTTATGTTTCGTTCACATTTTATTTACAGATATCATTAAACATTTAATTGCAAAATTTATATCTTATTTCTATAGTTTGCGTAAAGCTTATTTCACGACATATATAATATACATGGAATGCTACTCCGTCGTTTTTCTCGTAAAGTTATTTTATAATATTTTACAGAGCTTATTTTCTTCAAAGGTATATCTGTTACCATGTAATGCTTATTTGTGTGAGTAAAATGGATTCTTGAAGGGTTTAAATGGATTGCCTGACCCACAGACTTTGTTATTATTATTTTATTTCATTATTTGTTTTAGATCAAGGATTTATTTAGATAAAAAACAACAACTATACAAACATGTCAACAAGATTCTGCATTGCTTAGCAACGTTTTATTTATGTGTTATTATTTTCGAATTATAACAATAACCTTATAATCCAGAATGATGTCCATTGATAATCAGTGCGATACCTGATCCATGGAACAATAGTTTCTATCACATCTAACTTCACTAATTCATTTCAGTTTTGATTTAGAGAAAGTTGAAAAATGGAAAATAAAGAATTGAGGTAGATTTTCCATACCTGTTGAGGATGATGAGGATATGATGTCTGTCACACACCAATCAGTCCAGTACATCGTACTTGTTTGATGGGCTTACTACGCCAAGAACAGCCAATGTCAAGGTTGTGACGGGTGTATCCCTGTGATAACTGGTTGCCGTATCACACAACACAAGATGAGAGGTCCTTTGCATTACAACCACAGGAATAAAAGTCAAGTCAAGGCCACAACCATTTCAGTAAAGACCGACCTGTTTCCCAGATTCCTCAGAAACACAATCTGCCATGGGTAGGGAACGTCTAACCATATATCTCCAATCATCACCACGAGGTCACGTGGGCTAACCCTCCACTGACTGAGCTAAAGAGGTGCCGTCTGATAAACCATCAGCGGGCTTAATACTGAGGTGGAATTTCGCTCGCATTAATACATGTATGGACTTAATTTAAATGTGAAGAATATTGATATATTTTGAAGTTAAAATATTTTACAGCAGATATTTCTTGCCTGAATTTATTTTGAATCCGCGATAAAAACCAGTATGACTGCCAACTCATTTCATTTTTTATTTCCGCGTTATTTTTATCAAAACCAGGAAGCTCTATTGGCATCAAAACTTAATTTCAATCAACTTTTATTTAAATGTTGTAGATACTTCGTGGATGGAGATTGCTATACTTTATCAGTAGATGCTCATTTATGATCCTTCCGACAATTTTTTTTTCAAAATGCATATATTGTTTATTTTACACTAATTCGTAGGACATTTATATGTTGAAGGATAACAGATACAATGATTAAATGGTGTGGTAGTGTAGCGATAACCCACTTCACCAACACGGCCGGGGTTCGATTCCACACACAGATGTGAACGTTTCGGAGTTTCCCTATGCAGTAAGAACCATCACGCGCATCAATCAGTGAGTAATTCACACAACCCATGTGTGTAATGATAGGAATCGCAGTTTTATCTATTGATAATTCTTTTATTTGTTTATATGAAAGTGTGAATATGTTTTATGTTTCGTAAAGTATCTAGTAGAATGTATTGCCGTTTGTTAAGAAAATTCACGTCTTTTTGTATAGAATGACGGTCGCATTTTTGTGACTGATTCGTCGTCAATTTCGCTACCCATCTATATGATACCACGAATACAATTGAGAGAAGGGACCACGGATGCCAATAACCGTCAATGTCCGCCAACGTTCGCTAATTGTCCGTCAATGTCCATCAACGTGGGCCAACAACAATCAATCTCCATCAATATCTGCCAAAATTTGTCTGAACCCGTGAATTTTCGCTTAAAAGCGCCAATATTCGTAAAGTTCCGTTGTACTCCGTCAATATCCGCCAATGATCTTCAATATCCATGTTTGAGTTCTTCTTAATATAAGTATGAGTCTATCTGTATAAGAATACACACATCAACATGAAAATAACACGTCATCGTCATGTTCAGTCCAAATGCACATAAAAACTAACTGCATGTGGATGAACGACTTTTTTTTATCTTCCATGACCGATGGTACAAAAGACAGACAAAAACATATTGTACATATCTATACGAACTGTAATCCTGGTAAATACTAGCCGCTCGCCAAGAAAGAACTTCTCTTATAGCTCCATAGGTTGTCAGACTAGTACGCTAGAGGACCCTGGTTTGAATCCTAGCGGAGGCCTTAAAACAAATAACAAACCCAGATATCGAACAATTTGTAAAGAACGTACATGTGTCAGACAATGTGTAGAGCTTGTAGTTTCATCTAACCAAAACACATTTCGGTGTTTGAAGTGAATGAGTCGGATCTGTCTTGTTCGACCTGTTTATCGCTAGATTTGCCTTTATGCTGAAACAGAGACTGGTCAGTATAATACCTCCCACTGGAGTGATACATGAGACTATCAATTGGTCTTATTCCCAATTTTTTAGCCACAATTCCTAAATACGAATCATCAATACTGACCGGTGCAACGTAAGGAATGGCCAGTTGAAATTTCAGAGCGGAAATGCGAGACATAAGAAATGCGCCCCCTGCCAAATATGGCGGCCAGAAGTCATACGGGTACTCTTCATAAGAGATGTACCACTTTGAAGAATTGTCACGATACGGTTCTCCGCATGGGATCAACAACCCGATGTAAAGATTATCGATAATGTGCCTGGACTGTTTCGATATATCGTCGATATGTGTCGTTAGATTTTCGATATTAACACGAATATCATCATCAAGAAATAGAAGATAATCGGCAGTAGGACAAAACTCGATCGCCCAGTTATATCCCATAATAGTCTTATAAGTATTATTCCGATAGGAATCAAGAAAGTTCTCTTGGATGATATCCCGGAATTTCCGCGCCTCATAATCTATGTATACTTGAATTTCTTCCTCTGTTGCTGCGATGAGAAACACAACTTTTATGGTTTTGCCGTCTCTGTAATCTGCAGCCCAAGTTTTACGAATTTGTCTTCTCCAATCTCGATTTCCTGCGGCGGATTTCACAAGAATGAGTAATTTGTGTTTTACGTTTGGGTCAAACTTACATTTTCTCGCTTTATAAACATAATCAAAAAGTCTTGGATTAATGGAAGGGACATTAGAAAAGTTGGTTAAATCTTTGTCTTGTATAGTATCTTCAACAAATGACTTTATGTCGAAAGTCATGGGATATTCACTTATTTCCATATAATACGTTTTTGGCGGGAATATTGTCGAAACGGGATTCGAATTCGTGGTCACTGGTCCGGTTGTAAGTATTGGAATAGTACTTGAGGTTTTTATTTTAACGTGAAGCGTGATATCGACCGAGATCAACAAGATGTAAATAATGAAGAAATACACTGCTGCAAAGTACAGACCTAGAAATCCTAATCGCCGGTAAACACATCGAAAGTATTTTCCAAACACCATCCTCATATTAAAAGGACAACCATATTGTGCCATAGTCTTCCTCTTAATATGCATTTTGACTTCAGAGCTTCTTCCTCTTTTGTCGAGAAATAATTCTGACTTTAAATCTGTTCTTTCTCAGCGTGAATTAATTCCGATTTTTTAATTTTGTCCTTTCCTCGCACGAACTTCATGTAATTCAGATTTTTGAAAGTTCTTTCTTCTTCGCATGAACCAATTTCTGCTTCTGAATCTTGTCTCTCCCTCCTTTCAAGAAGTTCCGACTCTTCGATTCTGCATTCTTCAAATGACATTCGTCCGATGTTTTGAATTGTGTTCTTTCTTCACGTGAACTACTTCCAAATTTAAAAGTTTGTCCCTTTTTCATGTGAACTCTGTTCATTCCTCCGATATTCCTGGAGCTGTAAAATAAACAAATAAATAAATAAATTAATTAATAGTATTTTTCTATACCATGTACATGTATATTTATGTTAAATACATGTAGTGTTAAAAACAAGAATAAAATCTTGTTTCTTTTGGAACATTTTCTTCGGGTTGGTAATGTCAATAGAATAGAAGTTCTTATAACACAACCAGTAGAAGATTAGAGTGTCACGTTTCTGTGATTAAACAGTCACCAGTAGAAGATTATAAATAGAAACATCACACTCTAATCTTCTATTGCACTCACTGACTTACTGACTGACTGACTGACTGACTGACTGACTGACTGACTGACTCACTCACTCACTCACTCACTCACTCACTCACTCACTCACTCACTCACTCACTCACTCACTCACTCACTCACTCACTCACTCACTCACTCACTCACTCACTCACTCACTCACTCACTCACTCACTCACTCACTCACTCACTCTCTCTCTCACTCACTCACTCACTCACTCACTCACTCACTCACTCACTCACTCACATACACAATCACCTAACTCTCCGCCCATCTGCTCACTCACTTACTCACTCACTCACACAATCACCTAACTACCCGCCCATCTGCTCACCCACTTAATCACTCACTTACTCACTCACTCACTCACTTAATCACAATCACTTTCTCACTCACTCACTAACGAGTACATGTAAATGTATTTACTAACTTAGGAACAGTTCTTGACCAATACACAAAATTCATTCTTTACCGTGAAATGACCATATCTTCCCTGTTAATCAAACGATAACCAAATCATTTCCAGTGGCTTAAACATACAATCAAATTCCATTGAGATATTTTTCCCTACATTTGTTTTTACTTTACTTCGCCCCAAAACCCCTACCGGGCCTTCGCCACTACACCTCTACACCCCTATCGGGCCTTCGCCCACAAACCCCCAGCAGGCCTTTAACCCCAAACACGAACGGGGCCTTCGCCCCCGAACCCCAACCGAGCCTTCGCCCCCAAACCCAACTGGGCCTTCGCCCCTAAACCCCCACCAGGCCTTCGCCCAAAAAAACCAACCGGGCCTTTGCCCCCCAAACTCCAACCGGGCCTTCGCCCCCAAACTCCCACCAGGCCTTCGCCCAAACAAAAAAACCCACCGGACCTTCGCACCCAAACCCCTACCGGGCCTTCGCCCCCAAACCCCCATCGGGCCTTCAACCCCAAACCCGAAACGGGCCTTCGCCCCCAAATCGCCACCGGGCCTTCAACCCCAAAACCGATCCGGGCCTTCGTCCCCAAACCCCAACCGGGCCTTCGCCCCGAAACCCCCACCGGGCCTTCGACCAAAAGACCAACCGGGCCTTTTCCCCCAAACCCCCACCGGGTCTTCGCCCCCAAAGCCCAACCGGGCCTTTGCCCCCAAACCCAACCGGGCCTTCGCCACCAAACCCAAACATATCCTTCGCCCCCAAAACCCCAACCGGGCCTTCGCCCCCAAACCCCAACCGGACATTCGCGCCCAAACCCAAACCTATCCATCGCCCCCAAAACCCCAATCAGGCCTTCGCCCCAAAATCCCAACCGGGCCTTTACCCCCAAACCCCAACCGGGTCTTCGCCCCCAAACCCACACCGGGCCTTCGCCCCCAAACTCTCACCGGGCCTTCGCCCCCAAACCGCAACCGGGCCTTCGCCACAAACCCATACCGGGCCTGCGCCCCCTAACCTTCACCGGGCCTTCGCCCCCGGACCCTCTCTTGCTGGCATACACCCCTAAGGCCATTTGTTACTCCACCTGATTTCTGTTAAACATTTTTATTATATTTATCTGAACTCACCTGACGCGGGACAATCCGATCAAACCTCTGATAGCAACATCTTTGTGTATGCAACATCCGCAATTTCAAGTTGCGATAGATTAAATGAGAAAACACCGATCTGACGTCATAAAGGAAATTTTCTCCGCCAAACCATGCTGAAGTAGCAGTGTCTTTAAGAAAAGAGCTCCATATCACTTGTGTCATCACAAATCGATAGTTTCGTATTTTTACAGATGACTTTCAAATTGTTCTGATCGCCTGTATTAGCAAGATTGCTAATCCAAATCGTATTTTTAGACTGTCCTAGTTTTAGGACACACTATTCCAGACGTAATAGTCCCTCCTGGTCAGTTAGTTATACATTCCACGGAGGGGAGTGTTCTGATTTAAACCACGAACTTAAAACTATACGATAAATTAACGGTTAATTCAATCAACATTAAAAAAACTATCTAGTCTCGAGGTCAGAATAAGGGTCACTTGTTTCGCCACGGAAGAATGAGCGATATATACCCTTGGATGACGTCACAAATTTTATTTTAGAAAGAAACCGACTTCATGTATTGTTAGTTTAACGGTACGTAAAACAAATTTAACAGATGGCAGTTTTTACTGTCTGAAATATCCGTAGCTTTACATAGACTTTTAAACAGGCTATTCTGTCAAGACTGATGTTGTAAGTTGTAACTTTAATCATTAATAACAATCTCAATTTTCCAATTTTATCTTTAGATTTAACTTCCATAAAGCTGACATGGTTTGACATTAACGTAAACCAATACGGTTTTGACGTTTGTATAATCAAACAAAGATATTTCGATTTTGATTATAGAGTCTTATTAAAATATGTTTTAAAAACTGATGTTGTTAATTTTAAGGTGGGGGCGGGAGTAATTATATTAATCGATCTCCGTAAACTGATGGTAAAAAGCACTGTTAGAATGAACAAGTTTCAATGAAAAGTTTTTCTGTCATTTCTGTCAAATTTCCTAATTCTGTACCGTACATTACAGCAAAACAAACAATTGTAAAATCAAAATAAACATTTTGAAATCTAATTATCATATAAACAGATCAGATGTTTGAAAACAATAGCAGACAGGAAGAAAAGAAGCTTACTAGTGCCTCTACAAAGAGAACTCGGATCAGATCAGATCAGATAGAAATTAGACATTGTACTGTACGCGTAGGCTTATATACTGACAGGTGTATACAAGATCAACTGACAATTAAACAAAGGAGTTAATATGATAAACCGGTCTGTAGACTCATGGCGCAGTAATTGACGGTGGAATTTTAATTCTCGTCAGCTCAAATCCATTTCAGATTTTATTTATACACTCTGACACATGAAAATATGTAACATGAGGGCATACATATATTAAGAATCAAATAGATGACAAGATGGATAGTAAGGTACATGTATACATACAACTCTACGTACCAGATAGTTTATATAGAACAAGTGTAGGAAATACAATCAAATTATAGGTAACATTTTCTTCAAAAGTAATGCTAACTTTTTCAATATTTCAACATTTCCTGTAATCAGACGTCGCTTATATCTATACACACTCGGATTTTGGATCAAGTAATTGGCCAAGTATTTTAATGTGATATCACTTATATCTTCGTTTCTGCACATAAATCTATAATGAAATTTATCCCAGATAGATTGTTAACATAAACAACACAGCCTTTCATCCCAGATATATTGTTTACATAAACAACACAGCCTTTCATCCCAGATATATTGTTAACATAAACTACACAGCCTTTCATCCCAGATATATTGTTAACATAAACTGCACAGCCTTTCATCCCAGATATATTGTTAACATAAACTACACAGCCTTTCATCCCAGATATATTGTTAACATAAACAACAAAGCCTTTCATCCCAGATATATTGTTAACATAAACAACACAGCCTTTCATCCCAGATATATTGTTAACATAAACTACACAGCCTTTCATCCCAGATATATTGTTAACATAAACTACACAGCCTTTCATCCCAGATATATTGTTAACATAAACTACACAGCCTTTCATCCCCGATATATTGTTAACATAAACTACACAGCCTTTCATCCCAGATATATTGTTAACATAAACAACAAAGCCTTTCATCCACAGCCTTTCATCCCAGATATATTGTTAACATAAACTACACAGCCTTTCATCCCAGATATATTGTTAACATAAACTACACAGCCTTTCATCCCCGATATATTGTTAACATAAACAACACAGCCTTTCATCCCAGATATATTGTTAACATAAACTGCACAGCCTTTCATCCCCGATATATTGTTAACATAAACTACACAGCCTTTCATCCCCGATATATTGTTAACATAAACAACACAGCCTTTCATCCCAGATATATTGTTAACATAAACTGCACAGCCTTTCATCCCAGATATATTGTTAACATAAACTACACAGCCTTTCATCCCCGATATATTGTTAACATAAACTACACAGCCTTTCATCCCCGATATATTGTTAACATAAACTACACAGCCTTTCATCCCAGATATATTGTTAACATAAACTACACAGCCTTTCATCCCAGATATATTGTTAACATAAACTACACAGCCTTTCATCCCCGATATATTGTTAACCTTTCATCCCAGATATATTGTTAACATAAACTACACAGCCTTTCATCCCAGATATATTGTTAACATAAACTACACAGCCTTTCATCCCAGATATATTGTTAACATAAACTGCACAGCCTTTCATCCCAGATATATTGTTAACATAAACTGCACAGCCTTTCATCCCAGATATATTGTTAACATAAACAACACAGCCTTTCATCCCAGATATATTGTTAACATAAACTACACAGCCTTTCATCCCAGATATATTGTTTACATAAACAACACAGCCTTTCATCCCAGATATATTGTTAACATAAACAACACAGCCTTTCATCACAGATATATTGTTTACATAAACTACACAGCCTTTCGTCCCTTGGTATATTGCTCCAACGTCCAGTTTCTATTTGGAATTTAATATTAGATGTGCGTAATTTAGTTATCAAAACTCTGTTTTGGTCAGATAACTTTGTAACTACAATACTAACTAATACATTCCATTAGGCTACAAATAGATATATGTACAGTGTATATCTAAAGATATAGAAAATTCGTGATATTTTTAGGTAATGAAGTTTTACCATAAACAAAAAAAAATGTATTCTAAAAAGAATGATAATTATGGAAACCAATTCAATCCGCATCACAGAACTCGGTTTGAAATTTAGTTTGCGATGTTATTTTAGCGTGTACTGTACCCAAATTCCAAACATTCTCGTCACATCTCGTCTGATTTCGTAAATCACACTCTAAAACGCTCGGCACATTTCGTAAATACAAATTGAAACAGGGTCATATTTTGTATATTGGTGGTGATTCCTGTAGTATCTATATTTTGTATATTGGTGGTGATTCCTGTGGTGATTCCTGTAGTATCTATATTTTGTATATTGGTGGTGATTCCTGTAGTATCTATATTTTGTATATTGGTGGTGATTCCTGTAGTATCTATATTTTGTATATTAGTGGTGATTCCTGTAGTATCTATATTTTGTATATTGGTGGTGATTCCTGTAGTATCTATATTTTGTATATTGGTGGTGATTCCTGTGGTGATTCCTGTAGTATCTATATTTTGTATATTGGTGGTGATTCCTGTAGTATCTATATTTTGTATATTGGTGGTGATTCCTGTAGTATCTATATTTTGTATATTGGTGGTGATTCCTGTTTATCTATATTTTGTATATTGGTGGTGATTCCTGTAGTATCTATATTTTGTATATTGGTGGTGATTCCTGTAGTATCTATATTTTGTATATTGGTGGTGATTCCTGTAGTATCTATATTTTGTATATTGGTGGTGATTCCTGTGGTGATTCCTGTAGTATCTATATTTTGTATATTGGTGGTGATTCCTGTAGTATCTATATTTTGTATATTGGTGGTGATTCCTGTGGTGATTCCTGTAGTATCTATATTTTGTATATTGGTGGTGATTCCTGTAGTATCTATATTTTGTATATTGGTGGTGATTCCTGTAGTATCTATATTTTGTATATTGGTGGTGATTCCTGTAGTATCTATATTTTGTATATTGGTGGTGATTCCTGTAGTATCTATATTTTGTATATTGGTGGTGATTCCTGTAGTATCTATATTTTGTATATTGGTGGTGATTCCTGTAGTATCTATATTTTGTATTGTAGTATATATATATATATGTACCTGTCATGTACATGTGTGTATTATTTTGTCATCGCGAACACATCGTTAGTGTCACGTTTTACCCGCGCTCGTAACGTTTAGACGTATTGGCGAGCGCGTCCCAGTGTGCAGCGTATATGTATGTACTGGTGGTGTACGTGAGTAGTGTTCACTTACCGACAGGACACAAGCCATTTGACGGACTTTGACCAATGTGTTTGATTGGTTGAAAGTTTCTCCTGGGTATTCGTCTTTTGTCTTTTACTATATCGGGGTACCTTTGAATCCTGGCTTGCGGGTTAGACGGGCGTTCAAATGTCAGGTTCCTCGGGTTTTGTCTTTATGGTAAGTTTTCTCTAACTTTATTTCTTTCTAGTTAAAGTATTTCTTCTAAAGTATTTTCCCTGTGAGTGATGAGAGTTTGTATGAACAATATAATATTCAATGATATGTTTTAACGGTAACTGATATATTTTGAATCAACCATGTATTATGATATTCGTAAATCCTATACTTTACCAATGTATAAGCGTTATGCATTTCTTGCTTGAAGTATTCTGTAGATTGAATAAGAGGTTATCTCTTATTTGTAGTTCTACTATAAATGACGGATGAAGTGATATTGTGGAGTGTTGCAAACTCATACATGACTTGTACGTTAGCGCACGATACGTGTTGTCAGTGTGATTTTACTTTATTACTATTGGAATGGTCATGTTTTATTGGATTTTATATTTTATTCAAATGTAGAAGCATTAAAATTGTTTCACTCGGTGAAATATAATGTGTTAACGAAAGAAGAGTATGAATTGTTGAATATGTAACGAGAGATTTGTGAAGTTGTGAGAGTATTTGATTATGTTTTATTGTATATTCCAGAATGTCTATTTTACATCGATTAAACATTGAACGAACCCAGCGCTTTTGGGGTTTTTTTTGACACAACACCATCCGCTACAAAATGCACCTCAATACCGGAAGCAGGCGAAGTTAGCCGAATGAACGCTGCGTTCGTATCAAGATTTCGTTAAACTATAATAGCTACAGGCTTAGAGCAATACAAATATGTCAGACGCGATGACGCTTAGGGCACTTGTCAACATGGATTTAAGTACATACACGGACAAGTGAATTGTCAAATTTACGAGGCAGCCTGGCCCTTTATCAAATATTATATAAATTACATCACATACATAGAACATAAAACAAAATACAAAGTTATAAAGTTAAATCGAGAGCGGTGGTGTAAATTTAGGTGTCTCGATAATCCCTTCGGCCGATGGACGCCGAAGGCCCTTTAAAACGGACAAAAATGTTGTTGTATGTAGGATGATGATTAAAATATCAAAAATGTTTTATATCAATCTCGGTATGTTTTGCAATGTAAGCACTGAGGTATATGTAATCGCAACGAAAACAATTGCACGTCATACTCCGAGGAAAGTAAGTCTACCGGTACATCTCGGCCACATTCTAAATGAGGAATTGTTAGATTAAATTTTTCTAAAAATGTCCAACGAACATTTGTTTGTTAGGATCTAGTACAAATAATAGACCATACCGTCTATATTACTTCCAGGATAAATTTCTATCAGAAACAATGAATCCTCTAAAATCTTATCCTTATTCTACCTTGGTATTTTTGTGATGTAATTATTTTTCTGCGGGGATTTATTGGGGCCGATATTCAACAGATATGTAATGTAACCACGCTCTGTGATAAAACTGTCAGATAAACGGTGTTATCTTTGATCTACTGTAGAACAAAATACATTCATTTCAAGATCGTCAGAGTTATCTCCCCTAAAGTAGCGTGGGTCACTGAAAGATTCAAGGGAGGGGACTCTGTTGATCTTAAAACTGATAATATCAGAAGGCCGTATAATGCAGAATTTCGGCATTACATCCCGTGGAGGTATATATCTTAGGAAGCTGAGGAAAAGACTTATGTGATTCTTTGTTAAGTCTTTGTAAAGTTTATCCAAATTGCTGGACAACACGCGACTCTCGGCTTGTTGTTCAATGATGTAGCTACTAGCCATTACAAGGCGATCTCGCCTCATAACGACACTGGCAGTTCATAGGGCGAAACTCCCGCAATAGAATAAGGGAAATTTTCTCTGACATGAATGGTAAATATGAGGTGATCGTTTTAAAATCTATAGAAATGGAATTATTTGCCTATTAAATCTAATTTTGCTGTGATTTGATTTTCAGGTTACTTGTGAGTTCGTTGGAAAACGGGGGAAGGGGATAGAGGGAGTGTTGAGTTCTTATATGTTCACTTTTAGCGTAAGCGTCCTTCGTCTCATCCTAGTTAAACATGATTTCGTACCGAAAAATCAAAAGAATTTACTTTGGAAACCAGGTTCTGTAAGGTTAAGTTTATCTACAGAAACAAAGCAGCTCCGTCAATTTCTAGACTAAAGAAGGCACCCCTCCATCTTAACCCAAAACCCCACCCCAAACCCAACGCTCAACCCCGCCTCTATCCCATCCCGCCTTTCTATGCAGCAGTCAAGCCTCAGCCGTGAGGTAGTTAAAGCTATTTGTGTATCACTCTACATCAAATAGGAATGATGCTCATGTTTTCTTTAGTGTTCTCAATAGACTGGTTCCGATGTAAAAAGAACAAGAACATTTCACATGTCGATAACTCTTTATTCATCACCTATATATTATATTCTTTATTAAACATATTAAAGTATCACGTTGATAGCGATATATTAATAAAACCAGATATGTGTAGTTCTCATTTTTGTACGACTCTATCTCTCCCTTTCTGTCTCTCTCTTTCTCTCTTTCTCTTTCTCTCTCTGTCTGTCTCTCTCTCTCTGTCTATGTCTCTGTCTCTCTCTCTGTCTTTGTCTCTCTCTATGTAACTCTCTCTCTCTCTTTCTTTCTCTCCCTCTATCACTCTCTCTCTCTTTCTCTCTCTCTCTCTCTCTCTCTCTCTCTCTCTCTCTCTCTCTCTCTCTCTCTCTCTCTCTCTCTCTCTCTCTCTCTCTCTCTCTCTCTCTCTCTCTCTCTGTTTCCCTCTATATCATTCCACAAAATCCATTTACAAGTTTTTTCACACATATAGGAAGTTGACTTTTATTTCACCCATGCTCGTCTACATATCAATGATATCAATCATATGTTAAAAAAACCATACGGACGGCATTCTGATACAAGTAGTAATACAAGCAGCATATAATATTAAAAAAAAAAGATAAACAAAAACAAAAACTAGGCCATGCGACTCCTGGAAATATTTCTGTCAATAAAAGCACACCACGTCTATCAACATCGCATTCTCTAAATCATGTCTAATGATATTTGATTTTTGTTGTTGTTTTTATATATTTCAATAAATGTAAGTTAGATGTTACCGAACACACATAAATTACTTACTCTATCTAATACCTGAAGTTTTCGAATATACAGACGTATATTCCGTACCCGGATGTGGATTGAAAATCAAAGTCATTTTTATCTTTAAAAAACAATACATTGTGTAACCATGAAGATCAAGTAGGATAACGCTTTTCGAACCAGACCAGAGAATTTCTAATGCTTACGACTTATCATGAATGTGAAATGTTGGAATGATTTATACGTGAGTGACTTAATGACCACAAAAAAGATATGATGGTTTTATACATAGAGTATTGCACATTTAACAGGTAAATAAATAGTTTCCATTTATTGCTATTTCTGGTACTCAAATGTATGATCTCGTTGTAGTATGTAAACTGTAAAATGTAAAAATCACATTTCAATTAAATAAGGCGTAGATGATACCCCTATTCGAAAATCTGATTTTTATTTTAAAAATATAATCCATCATGACGAATATTTCCATTACTTTCGCCAATCGGAATCTGTTCGAATCTTTCCGTCAATAATCGGCCACCAATCATATCATGTTGACGGAATTAACCGAGTCGAACGAGTGCATTTTCTTACCGAAGCAAATATTAAAAAATAGAAATTCTTTGTAACATACGAGCATGCCAGTATACATGTATCCATGATCGTTATGTGTTTTTGATTTGTTTTGTCGTTGTTTTCTGTTTTGTTTTTTATTTTTGTTCCTGTCGTTTTTTCAAACGTTGTAATATGCAATATACAAACATTTACATACCAAAGTGCATAAGAATAGTATAAATGTTTAATAAAATATTTAATATTTAATTTAAAATTACACACCTCGGTCAGTTGTGACGTCATAGGTATGTTTGGCATGGACTTGTGTAAAGAAATGTCTCAGACACTTCCGTTAGTTTCCGTTCCGGAAACACACGGACATTTCTTATAGGCACTATTCCTTTACAATCAAATGTTATCACAATCTTTGTAGAGCGATACCGTTCGAGATTTGCATAATATCACGTATAAATGTTATATGTTAAATAATTCAAGTACATCAACGGAATTTTTAAATAGAAAATCGCAGAAATAATGGGTACTAAAAATAGAATATGTATTATCCCGTATAACAAATAAATAAAAAAATGTCTGTCTTCTTGTCCCTTTTTTATCTGTCTGTCTGTCTTTTTGTCCGTCCGTCCATCAGTCCGTCCGTCTCGCCGTCCGTCTCGCCGTCCGCCTCGCCGTCCGTCTGTCTGTCTGTCTTTTCCCCTCGTTAAGGATCGCCGCCTTCAATTCTAATGACAATATTTCAATTTTCGTTTTCTATAGTGCAGTGATTTGTAAAGACGTTTTCTAGTTTGAAATCAAATTTAACGCCCTCCGAATAATGATTTCTCTATCAAATGAATAACTAACATGAAGTTATTTCGTTACCTAACCGTAAATAAGGGAGGTTGGTTTAGTACAAGCCAATACTGTATATAAAAAATATCAAATAAAAGTAAAAAGAAAAATGTATTCAAAATATCAATTATAAAATGAAAAACATCACAATCAACTGAGCGGAACAAAATGTGAAACAGAAATCTGGATCGTTTGATGAAATAAACATTGTTTTGATCGCTTATAAATGAATAAAGCACAAAGACAAATAAAAAGATACAAAACAAACAAGGTTTTGGGATACATGTTTTCTGGAAAAACCTCTAAATAAAAGAGTTACACATCATAAAACGGTACTTACGAAAGATGTTTTCAATCCGATTAAATTATATATAAAACTTTCAAATAATAGATATTAAAACAAATACGTCAGAGTCTTTATCATATATTGAGCTAGATAATAGTAAATAGTAGGGGAGGTAACTCTGAAATATATATATATATATATATATATATATACACACATAAGAAGCCATGTGTGAAAAAAACCGCATTCCATTTATTTAATTCATCATATACATTCTGTTTTCGGAAGTGAAAAAACGCCGTGTGATTTTTGTCCGGTTTTGTTGGATTTTAATTTCCCGTGAATAAAATACTCGTACGATGCATATGGTCCGGTCGTGTGGAAATTTACACTGTCCATCGGCCTGATGGACAGTTTTTTAGCCACCATTCCTAGATAAGCATCGTCTATACCTATTGGTTTTACATACGGAAAGGCTAATTGCATCTTCTGTGCAACAGAGAATGAAGTCACGAAAGCACCGCCGGCTAAATATGGGGGCCAAAGGTCAAAAGGGTAAAGTTCAAGAGATATCTGCCATTTTGATGTTTTACTCCTTTCTGGCTCTCCACATGATATCAAAAATCCTAAAAATAAATTTTCCTGTGTATCACGTGATAGACTTTTTATAAATTGCACCAGTCCTGGAACATTTACAAAGTGATCGTCATCCACGAAGAGATAATAGTTTGCATCCGCACAAGACTCCATCGCCCAATTGAACGCCATGACAGTTTTTAGTGTATTGTTGAAATAAGCGTCCTGGAAATTTTCCTGAATGATATCTTTGTAGAAATCTGCCTCGTAGTCGATCATACCCTGTACAGATTTGTTATACGCAACTAAAAAAACTACTTTTATAACGCCTGGGTGAACTTTAGCCCATGTGGTCCGTACCGTGTGACGTCGATACCAGTTCTGAGCAGCAGATTTCACCAAGATGGCGAGCCTTGCTCCTTTCTGACTATAAAACTTACATTTTTCTGGTTTGTGTATATAGGTGTAGTTATGAGGATAATGCTTTTTAAAAGGAATTTCAGTACCGTTTGTTATTTTATCCATTACGTATGGTAGTAAATCTACCTGTAACGGATAACTTCTCATAAACTCACGTCGATATGACATCACTTCCGGTGGGACTTCTTTCAGAGCACGCATCACTCTGGGTCTCAATAATCCGCCACTCAGAAACCCTTTGCTTTCTATGTCCGACACTTGCTGGACCGAAGAGAGCAACCAAAGTCCAGCCATTACGTATAACAAAGGCCGAAGCTTCCGAATGTAAAACCATGGCCTCATAGTAATTAATAATGTATTGCACAAATTTCTGTAATTCTCTCCCGGAGCACCTCTATTTTCTTCCTTTATCTTGGCACTTTATCAGAAATAATTTTTTCACCGTTACAAGAAATATCGCAGAATCATCATTCACATTAACGAGATCACAAATCGGTCACTTCAATAATTTTCGACCGATTTTCCAGGAATCTTAAATTTTTCAAACAGTGACAAAATCCTGAGACGAATGAGGTTCAGCAGAACATTTCAGACACTAATTATTGTATAAAATGACGTTGTTTTGGTACAGATGTCCTTAGATACAAACTAACTTCTGTCGTTATAGACATTATACTGACTTCAGCGTTTCAATTTATTCAATATTTCCGGACATTTGTTGCTGTCGACGGCTCTTTCAGTAGAATACACCTGAAATGATAAGAATAAGTTCAATACCACAAAGTCAATTTGCTTCGTCGTAATTGTATGGAAGAACTCTCTCTCCCCTCCCAATCAATCAAACAATAAAATAATCAATTAATCGATAAATCAATCAATCAGTTAAATCCTCAATCGACATATCAATCTAATAATGAAACGATCAATCAGTACCATCAAGTGTCGTGAACATGCATCACAGTGCACACTATACATGTAGGACATAGATATAAATTACTGTCCTGGCAGACTGAAACCATGTGATCAATTTGGCCTGTTGACATTGCGCAAAATGACCATCATATTACAAATCGATTCTTCTACGTCTTCTCTTGTAGCAACCACAGACAATAAACAAAATATAGACTAATCGATACGTAAAATCAATTCTCTCTCTGTTCTCTTTCCACATATGAACACAGCTAAACCGCGACCGAAAGTCATTTCGTTCTCTATTCACGCCAAAATTCAAGTAAACGGTGACCGAATTGACTTCTTCATTAGTAATGCCATTACGTACTTTATTCACACCTGAATATAAATACAACTAAAAGTGGGCCGAATTGACTTCTTTATTAAGAATATCATCTATTTTATTGGTTTTTGATTGATTTGAATTTCTGTTTTATAGTCCATAACAAAAAAATCCGGGTTTCTTCATCGATTTCACGGGGAAAAAACATCTAACAAAGCAGTTATCGACAGCATGAATTTCGTGGAATCCGTTTCGGTGATACCCTGTTACATTGCCCTATGTTAAAGGTGTTTACTTGCCGAACTCATGGTATTTTGTCTGTCGAACTTTTAACTTCTAACACTGTTCCGACATGTCTTTTATTTGTTCTGTTAAACCAACTGTCAAAAACAACAATATTAAAGGCAATTCACATATCTGTTCAAAAGATAAAAAAATCGTTTATCGAAAACAGTGTTCAAATATCTTATTTTTTTCAAGATTTTCCCTGTGTGAATATCTGTAATATTAACAAATCTATTTGGTTCTCATATCACACGACTAAACAAAAAATTCCATGACCCTCTTAATCAATAGATTAAGCCCTAACTCACGCAAACATAACAAAGTACAGACTCGTTTATTTTATCCGGATTACAAAAACACGGGGTCACCGGTAACTATTTCGAAATAATAACATTAGCCCCCGTACCGAGAACGTTCTACCTATTTCACCTAATTGCATAACTTCAAATTTCATAAGAATGAAAAGTGCAAGATCGAATCTCCCTGATAAAACACACGTCTTAACAGCGTGTATACAACCGTTACCATAACAACGGTCGATTGTTCTTATTCCAAAATATCTCTAACGTTAAAATCAAAATATATTTCAATATTTCCGTGTTGGTAACACACTTTCTATATTATTATTACAAGGTTAGTCTCGTACTTTGAAAAAAAATCATAACGTACCTCTAATCCATGATCCATTATAAGAAGTTTCCATACATATATACAGTGTATCCAATTAAATCCGTTTTGTGAAGAAATTTGAAGACATATTTTTTGTGTTTCCCCCCTTTTCCCCTAAATTGTGAACTGTCGTAGCATGCGGCTGTAAGATACACTTATTTTGTAATATCCATCGCATATATCTAAATGTGTGGTTGAGTTCAGACAGTAGAACGTCACCATGTCGATTGTAGTACACATTTGTGTACCTGTCAGGGCGCGTTATATCCTTGTATATTTAGACATGGATTAGCAATGTAGAAGGCTTATTAAATCTATTGAGCTACTGAAACCTGCGCACAATGATCTGGTATTGACGCTTCAGGTGGTACCACAGTGAAGAAATAGAAATGTTTAAACCTTCTTGAATTAGTACGAATAGATATAACTATATCTAATGGAATGCTGAGTGTATACCTATGGCCGTAAGGACCTCGGGACAAAATTTGAATTGAATTGGCCTTAACACTTTCTGTTCGTCCTGTCATGTACGCTTGCACATATATCAAACCGAACATACAAACCCTACACATGTTTATATGAACAATACTATTTATTCGTTAAGTTTAGAGTATTAAAACCTGAAATCTTGATTGACAGCGCTATAAATTATTTCTCCTACAAGATACATTATGATATATTTTTTGTCAAAATCTCGTAGAGGACCTTGTGTACAGAAAAAATATTTGCTAATTCTGGAAATCTGATTAATATAACCCAAACTATGGAAATAGAAATATAAGTAAAATAAAGTAGTTTTTAATGTAATTATAGTCGAAATAATTGATATATGCGTTCCTGACAAATTTTCCATCAAACTCAACCGAGTTAGGATTAAACTCAACCGGGTTAGGTTTAAACTTAACCGGGTTAATGTTTAGCTTTCCGGGTTAAGTTTAAATTATACCGAGTTAAGATGAAACTCTTCTGATCAAGATTTTTCAAAATAATATTGCATTTATATCGACTATAATCACATTCAGATAATAGCTTCATATGCAGAGTTAATGGCGATTCAAGGTTTAAGACGTGAAATTTAAAAAAAGACATCAAAACACATATTTTATGTAAAGCTGTTTGAGATATTTGAATATATTTTTCATCACATAGTTTATTTGACAACGTGATATGCCTATGTAATTTATATCTTATATTCTTAATTTTGGCTTGATGAGTTCAAATATTTGTTGATTTTTTTCTTCTAGCAGATAAGGTCACACAAAGTCCATATACACAACACACTGGCCAACACTGTTTGGGTTTAAAGCCCAATTTCAACAAAAATATGTACATAGTTTGTAAGTAAGGTTACAACAAGTGCTATTTATAATAGGAAGATTGCTTATTTAGATAAGAAGGAGTTGCTTCATATAGTTACATATAGTTACATATAGTTACATAAGTGAAAGTAGCCATCTTAGCTGCCAAGACCAGACTTACATTGTATTTAATTCTAGTACAGGAGGGAAAATGTGAGATGATAATTCATAAAAATACATCTGGTATGTGTAGTACTGCTATAGTAGTAGTCAACCTGGGGGTTTAATTGATAAATACGAATTTCTGAAAGTACACATAGGATGTTTACAATACTACGTTCAATGAGATAATTCTTTGTATTGGAAATAAAGTCATGCATCATTAGAATGATTGTAAATTAGGCATTGAAAAATGGGAATATTTTAGAACGTGAAATAAAGTCTGAAACATGAGATAGGATGACACTATTTTGTATATAATTACAAAGAACACAACCATGGTATAAGACTTTTACACATAAATGATTATGATTTCTGTCGTAGGGTCTGTCGTAGGGTCTGTCGTGGGTCTGTCGTAGGGTCTGTCGTGGGTCTGTCGTAGGGTCTGTCGTGGGTCTGTCGTAGGGTCTGTCGTAGGGTCTGTCGTGGGTCTGTCGTAGGGTCTGTCGTGGGTCTGTCGTAGGGTCTGTCGTAGGGTCTGTCGTGGGTCTGTCGTAGGGTCTGTCGTAGGGTCTGTCGTGGGTCTGTCGTAGGGTCTGTCGTGGGTCTGTCGTAGGGTCTGGTCTGTCGTAGGGTCTGTAGGGTCTGTCGTAGGGTCTGTCGTAGGGTCTGGTCTGTCGTAGGGTCTGTAGGGTCTGTCGTGGGTCTGTCGTAGGGTCTGTCGTGGGTCTGTCGTAGGGTCTGTCGTAGATCGGTATATCTATTGCACTCAAAGAAGAAGTGTATGGTAGTTTCAGAAGATTGAGTGCACTCACACATTGGAGATTCTATTAGATGATCTTTGAAAAGATCATAGTTAAGATTACTAGCGTTATTTATTAACTGGCACAGCATAATGTTTGTATCACGATTACCTAGAAATTTAAAAGTATAATTTGTTTCAGAGTCTACATATTGATTCTTGCACAATAACCTTTTCAACTGAGATGTGGAATGGATATTACTAATATCTGGGGCAAGCCTATTAATCTCATTAAACATACACAGGGTTTCATCATGTATATATGGTTGAATTATTTCACTTAAGTAATATGGAGTTTCATTATTTATTATTTTATACATTAAGATAAGTTTGTGTTTATATCTTCTGCTACTCAAAGTATCCCATCCTAGTTCCTTATATAATTATCATGTGATGTCCCTCTACGTAAACCTGTAATTAATCTAGCAGTCTCTAGTTGTATGGATTCCAATAATTTTTTTTGAGCCAGGATACAGTTATCCCAAACAACATTTGCGTATTCACTAATTGGCCTAATGTAAGAAGTATACAAGGAAGTAAGAGATTTTCTATCAATTTTATTTTTTTTTAATTAACCTGAAGATATTTACCCTTTTAAACGCTTTTTCATAGATATTAGATATGTGTTGATTCCACTTGGCATCACCACTAAGAGTAAGACCTAGATGTGTATGAAGTTTGTTTTCAGTAATTGGTTGATCATAAAATGTAATAATTGGATGTTTTTTGTCAGTTTTTCTTGAAAATACTACAGATTCAGTTTTGGAAGGATTTAATATAATATCCCATTTATTGGCCCACAGCATTATGTTTGTCAAGTCATCTGAAAGATTCTGTGCCAGTTCAATGGGATAATTATCACATGTACCAAAGAGAGATGCATCATCTGCAAATA